CCCCTTGCACAACCTATGTGATTCCTGATGACACATTTCTGTCCAATTGGATATTTTATATACTTACTTTAATATACTACTTACATGGTACACACAATAAAAACTAAAAACAGTTGGACTATAGCAGTGCCTTAAATTCACATTGCAGATAAGTGGCGAGTAGAAATACAGGCGACATTCATTTTCATCTAGTGGACGGCGTGGTTGAAAGGTAGCACGTAAGATTGCTAACCTAAATGTTACGAGTTCGGATCCAGGACTTGAGTCGGGTGCAAATCAAAGTTCATTTGAAACAGATGAACGCTAATATAATTCTCTTGCACGCTGTAGAGTGTACCGGATATACTTATCAGCTTACTCTACATAACACAGCTATATGCCAACACAAATATCTCCGTGTTGCTCGTTTCTTCTTTTATGGTAGATATTAAAACAAAAATTACATAGATATGGTTATCTCTGAATTGGGATTCTAAACAGAGTTTCTTCTAGGCATCTCTTCTTGTTTATATTTCTTTATAACTAGATTTTACCGCCACCCCCCCCCCCCGAACGAAATGAAATTTATATAATTTATATAGAAAATATATACTTTTAACAGTGTCCACCCCCCGAAGAAAGTCTACCGCCCCCCCCCCCCCCCCCCCCGAAAATTTGAAGTGCCTCCCCCGGAGAAAAAAGTCTGGAAGAAAGACTGATTCTGAATGGCACACCTTAGGGCGTGTACAATGTTACTTAATGAACATAATTTAGGTTGAGTTACAAGCAGTCTCTATACAGGCTGAATTAATATTCTAAGTTGAGAAATATAAATTAATATTACTTTTATTTTTTTCTCTAAAGGTATAACTATACCTTCTTCGGATGATCTTGAATTTACATGATTTTTTTTTTAGTTTGGAAAAATACAAATATTGCGCGTTAGGCTTAGCTCCGCCTTTTAAATGACATGCATGCTTTAGATACTTAGGGGCTCGAGAAAATAATGCACGCGTAACCAGTGTTTCTTTCAGTCCTTTGTCATCGGTGGGAAAATAAAAATGTTGGGAGTGGGGTGCACTTAAATTTCCTGAGAGGGAGGAAAGAAGGAATGGACACTGATTAAATTAATGGCTCTCAACCTGGGTTTGATCGAACTTGACTGCTAACCCTGTTCTGGAGTACCTGATTGATGTTTCATAAAACAGAATGCGGCTAGGCTTAGTGCTGATCACAGTATCCCTTAATGTGCCCAAGTTTAAAGACATACGAAATCTGCTTTCCACATTAAGATCATTAGGTCTTAAGTTTAAACTTTAAAATTATCTAAGCCAGGCACGTCATCCTATCGCGTACAGCCTAGATGGCTCGCAATATTCCAGATTATAAAACAAGATAATTATTACGCTAGACGAAACTTTATTGTCTATATGTAAAACTGTTTTTCATCTATCTATTTTATGTCGGTCAAAACAATATAAAACACGAACGCTTTGTATAAGTAATGGTGTTTCGAGTTATGTTTATTTTTATGTTTTTTTTATTAATATTATTCATTTTAAATACAATTCCTTTTTTATGCAATGTTATTTTTTAGTAAGCACTATTGAAAAAGATAATAATTAAGAGAAATAATTGCTTTTTAATTTGTTTAGTACAAATCTATTAGAAGGAGCTTATGAGTACCCTATTTGACTATTTAAAAAAGGGAAATAAGTCGTTAAAGTAGTTTGAATGTTTGCTTCTTTTTCACTCTACAGATTATGTGAATATTTTTTATGCAACAGCGTGTGTTAGCTACTGTATAACATCACTAAAGTAGAAAATCTCTTTGTTATTCACAAAACTACTATCAAGGTGCCAGTGGCGAAACTATAAAAGTACAGCCCATCTCGCCCCGCCCCCCTCCCTCGGTGGAGGTTGCTAATGCAGCGAGACTGCTGATTCAAGTAGTATACATCTCCCCCTGTGCAGGGCACCCATGGAAGGGGGTAGTAATACATATAAAAGACAGACATAAGGTGTTCACGTTGACAGCTGTATGTGCCCAGCTAACGCGGAGAAATAACCATCTGATTTAAGGGACATCCATAAATGACTTCATGCTTTTTTGATGACTCACAAAAGACCAGATACGTCATTTATTAAGTGATTTATTGATTATAAATCTCCAACTAATTCATGTACTAATAATATAACAAATAGTCTTACCTTGTACTCACTTAATATCCGCTGACTAGTGTTAGCTAAAATGTGAGAAGTGGTGAGCGTACAGCTAGAAAGTTCGCTACTTGTAAAGCTAAGAGCGGGAGGGGGGGGGAGGTGGGGGCTCAGAGAAAGGATGTTAAAAGGAATGACACAGCGCCGATGTGCTTATATCCATCAGAACCGAAGATGGGGTGGTCTTAACTACTTTTCCTAAAGCCTTACATTCGAGGGAGATAATTCAAACTATACACGCTTACGATTATGTAATTTGTAAAACAAAAATTAGTATACGTACATGAAACCGAAATTATTATTATATTCTTTCTGATTATTTGTAGAATACAGGATAACACAGAATAATAGTTCTACCAATACAAAAAACGTACGTTTTATTTTGTAAATTTACAATGTATCGTATAAAGAAGCAAAAGTCGTCTTAATATCTAGCGGCCTCTCGCGCAATGGACTTTGATTTTTTTTAAAAGAATGTTGCTGACAAGAGCGTGTGTTTGATTGTAGAAGAAAGAGGACTTGGCCTTCACAGTGGTTTTAAAACAAAGGGGAAAATAATACACAAGAGCGTGGGGTGATGTTTATAGAGATAAACATAATCAAAACGCAGCTACAGTAATCTTTTTACTAAAAAAAAACAATCAAGTCATAAATGAAAGAACATTATTTTTTAACTATAAAAAAATTATTATGGTCGACTTTGGGCCCCTAAATGGAATGCTCCCCCCCCCCCCCTCTGGCGGCACTGTAGTTCCGCCACTGACATACACACACACAGATATACGGACAAAATAGCAAATCTATGTTTTTCCGACACAGGGAGGAGTAAAACTTATGTAAAAATCTCGATTTTTTAAGCACGATTATAATACGTCTTCTGCTTCGTATAAGAGAAAGTAAAATGGTTTCGCTGTGGTCAGGTTGGTAAAGCTCTTGATCCCTGGGGCAGATGACTTCCGATAATTGGGGACTGCAAGACATCTAGGAGAGCCAACTCAGAATCAAACAACAGCTGCTGGGCATATTTTTTATTTGTTTGGACAAAAGCTATGAAAAAAACATCCAAAACAGAAATGATGGCTGAAATCGGCGTCGACGATCCATATGACGCATAACATGTTGACACGTAATACTTAATTGTGTTAATTGCATCACTGTCTAGCTTTACAACAAAAAAGAAGTAGAAGAAACGAAGAAACATAGAGATTATTAAGCTTATTTACCAGAAATGCCTTAGTAAACTTGAAATTCGTTTCATTCACTCAGTTAAGGGCGATAAACCTTAAAATGTAAGTCTTTATTTAAAAAAACAACTAGTTGTTCCCCCTGCTGTATTTTTCATCCGTACAATAAACAGTAATACGAGGTATCGATAAAACACATAATACATTGAGTACACGTTGTTTTTTATTTTTTATTTTTTAGTGCCGCTATATTCAAACAAGCCATTTTTTGTGCGGAAAAAAACTATAAGCGTACATTTTATTTGTAATGGCACTTGTAAAAACTCTTTGTTGGGGGAGGGGGGGGGGAAGTCCGGTCCGGGACCACGCTCACCTTTTGGGGTCTCCGAACGCGAAAGAATTTTTTTTAAGCTATTTTCTAAACTACTTTACTGAATCATACACTGTTAGTGAAAAAAAAAATGCTACTTGGCAAAAAAGGCTTATTTGGAGGTTTTCTACATATTTTGCGTGAAACCTAAAAACTGTATAGAGCGGGATTATTTTTTTTAAAAAAAGGGAATAAATTTAAATAAATTGGGTTCGGCGGCGCAATACCAAAAGCTCCGCCCCGAAGCTGGAATGGGTCCCTACGACTCTGATAAGCAGTTACACGTAAATGCATACACATATAAACTCATCATTTAAAATAACTTCCATCTAACTTTTTTATATACCCCACGAACGCATGCTAAATTAAACCCAACACCCAATGCTTAATTTCTCACTTATGTCACTAAAATGTACAAAATATTATTAATAACACCAAATAAAACGACGACACAAAAAATATCAACTGTTCATTAAAATGTGACAGAAAAGTGCAAACACACACAAGAAAAAATAGCCACAGAAAATATAACAAAGAAATATAAAATGTCAATACAAACATTTAATCAAAATCAAAATGAAAATGCAATATTTGCAGTTAAGCTAAGTAAGCTACATACTTTAGAACTTGCAATTCACTCATGTATAGACTAACTATATGTCAATGTAAATATATTTGGTTAAAACTTTAGAAATTAAAAAATCACGATTTTGACACACTCTTGTTCTAGTAGAGACAAAAAATTAAACACCCAAAAATCACAACATCTATTCAATCACAAGAAAATTAAATTAAAACAACACACAATTTAATATAATATAAAAACAGCTACACGTTAATATTTTTTACTAATATAAACACACTGATACACGCACTTAAACGAGTTACACATTAATCTACGTACTCAATTACAATGAATTTCAACACGCGGCTAAACAATCTAAAAGTCATAACAAACCGCATATATTCAAAACAAAACGCATAAAATCAAAACAAACCGCATATAATCAAAATAAACCTCATTTAATCAAAACAAACCGCATATAATCAAAACGAACCGCATATTATCAAAATAAACCGCAAGCACTCGTCTCTTACACAGTGTGTGTAACGAGCGTCCTATTTCGTAGTTTGTCTAACACTGCAGGCTATAAAAACAAATCCCCACTTGACAGTGACACAGTCAATGTGACTCAGTCTATGTCTAGATGAGGTCAAGTCCTGGGTTTGTTTACTTCCGTGTTATACCTCGTCCTACATGTATACACACAATGGCACAGGGTGTAGAGTAGGAATGAAGGATAACAGTACCAGTTGTTATAAATACGTTTGGTAAGTGTATACTAGTATTTACACTATATATATAAATATATATACATATATATATATATATATATATATATATATATATGTGTGTAAGCCTATATATATATAATCTTTTTTAAAAGGGTTATATATATATATATATATATATATATATATATATATATATATATATATACATATATATATATATATATAATCTATTTTAAAAGGGTTATATATATATATATATATACATATATATATATGTATATATATATATATATATATATATATATATATATATATATATATATATATATATATATATATATACATATATATATATATATATATATATATATATATATATATATATATATATATATATATATATATATATATATATATACGTGAAAAAAAAGAACCAACAATTTAATATTACATTTTCTATTTCTTTATCAGCACTGCATAATGATACATTTTGTCTGCTTAGGTTAACATGATTGGAATTCAATCATTTTAATCTGTTTATTATTTAGCAACAATAAATCAAATTCATTTATCTCAAAATCTGATATTTTTAAAACTTATAAGATTAGTTAGTCAATCTTTACACTGTGTGGGATGTTTAATTTTGACATTGGCAAGGATGTTTAATTGTGATGAATGCGATGTAAAACTTTGGCAGATGCTGGTGTTTGAGGGATATTTTCGTCGGTTTGAAATCACATGACACAGATCATACTGGTATTTAAGAAAGTGAGAGTTAATTTAGTTTGGTGTTATAACTTTGTTCTAAGCTCAGCGTGTTTTTCTAATTCGTTTGTTTAGGGGTTGTGATTTTACGTATGTTTTTAGTAATTTGTTCTTTATAACCAAATTGAGTTACAAAATGTATTACAAAAAATATAATTAATCTACAAACAGACATTGTTACCTAGTGTAAAGGATTATGAAAAACCAAGTTATTCGATGTTAAGGAAGAGTGATACAACATAATTAAAATGTATTTTTTGTGTAGTTCAGTATGGTAAAAATTGCGTTCAGTGTTTTACTGACAATGGTTTAGTTTCAATATTTATTTTATAATTGTTCTTAAATTATTTGTTCTGAGATGACTAATCACGGAACAAAATACACACAGATTTACACACACATACATATATATACACACATTTATACATACATACATACATACATATATATATATATATATATATATATATATATATATATATATATATATATATATATATATATATATATATATATATATTTATATGTATATATATATATATATATATATATATATATATATATATATATATATATATATATATATATATATATATATATATATATATATATATATATATATATATATATATATATATATATATATATATATATATATATATATATATATATATATATATATATATATAATTTATATAATTTATATATTTATATATTTATATATTTATATATTTATATACATGTCGCGTAATATTGAATCTAAAATGTGTGTCACAATCTAGATGCATTCAGTTCCCCAACACCCTTTCCCCCTAAGAACAAATACAAATACCCAAACCTTTACGAATGTACAGCACAGCGCACTTAACTGACATGTTTACTTCTGTCACAGGTCACAGCTTGTGGGTCACGTGATAATCTTAAGTGTACTGTACACATGATTGCATTCCTTAACGTATTATGGCAGGTTGGTTATTTGCACTTGTTAGTTACAGCTTATTTTTTTATTATTTTTTTTAAATTTTAAACTAATTATAATTGTTGATTTGATTTTTGTTTTAATTTTTAGTTTAATAAATTTTCATAGGGTTTTAATTGACATCAACTGGTTTTGCTGAATGTTTGTTTATTTTATTTTATTTATCACTATCAAGTATAAGTAATTGTAAACAATGCCATTATTTATTTCCTATTATAACTATATTGATCCTTTTATAGAACTTCCATCTTTGTTCAAGAACTTCAAATTTTTTATTTTCTTGAAAAACTTGTCATTTCGTTTTACTATTATGTTATGTTGTTTTAATCAACTTTTAATGACACGAGAATAGGATATGGTTATAATTGTTAATATCCGATTCTTTAAAAAGATCTATGTGTATTCGCCCTCCGCATAAGTAAGGACATATTTTTCCCGATTCTATAAATAGAAAGTCTGTGTTTTCCTTTATATATATATATATATATATATATATATATATATATATATATATATATATATATATATATATATATATATATATATATATATATATATATATATATTCGTTTATCAACACATTTAAAAGACGGTCATTGTTTTACTACTAAATCATTTTCTTATTGTTAAATACGTTTGATAATCGATGTATCGTTTGGACATTGGACTGAATAATAACCTCTTCTTGTCTATACAGACACGTCACCATGGCTTTGTCATTAAAAAACAGTTGAGCAATATGTAGGATCCATTCTGTAGTTTGTAAAACGTCGCACGTATGGGATGTATTATTTCGCCTAAATTTGAAGCTGATATATTTTTAGATTAACGGTTGATTTACCAACGTTTTCTTGATGTGTATTTATACTTAGAAAATCTATTTTAAGCTGCAACAAAATAACAACTTGGTATTTCATCCGCAAAGTAATATATATTTATCATTATCGTTCCTTTGTTTGTTCCCAAAACACATACGGCCGCTACAGTTTAGCGTCAATCAAGCGATGTCATCTGAATTCATTCTTATTTGTGCCCCAACCAATGCCATCTTCTTGCTCAAACTTAATGCATAAGGCTACAGTGTTTGTAATAATTTAACTTGCTTTCTTGTTCTTTTGTTTAGAAAATCTTTCACGACATGAGTTAAAGATTCTACACAGGAAAGTTTCAAACGTCAGCAAAGACTTGCAGATTAAGTACAACTCTATGAGGGAATTTCTAAAGGATTTTAACGATGGATTTATAGAAATTAAATGTAGGTTGTAATATTACGATTAAAACCAATTTTATATATGAAATTTATATATTTTAAGATCTATATATATATATATATATATATATATATATATATATATATAGGCCTACACACACGCACACACACACATATATATATATATATATATATATATATATATATATATATATATATATATATATATATATATATATATATATATATATATATATATATATATATATATATGTATGTATATATATATATATATATATATATATATATATATATATATATATATATATATATATATATATATATATATATATGTATATATATATTCATTTATTTATTTTTTTTATTTATATTCTCAATTTTTATTTACAATCTAAATTGAATATCACACAGGCTCTTTCCCCCTGGTCCGTTGTTGGCGACTACCTAAACTTGTGAAAGAGACGGTCACTGAAGAAAATCTCGGAAATATTTGTCAATGGATGGAGGACTCGTCTATAGCAACACTGAGATTTAACGAATCGTAGGGTTTTTCGAAAACAATCATATATTCTCATAATAAAGAGTAAAAACCTTGATTAAAATAAATGATTTGTACTTATACATTGCTGTAATGCAGCCCATATTACACCTAATTCTCAAACTAGATTTAGAATAGCCACAAAAGAATTTTTAAAACGCGTTATCCAAATACTAATACATAAATATAAAAATCCCCTTTAACTTAATTATTAAAAGTAATTATATATTATTTCCCCAGTACGGGCTTAAGGGCGTTGTTTGAAAAGATTGAGCTGATTAAAAAAGCCAACAAGACACCAACAGTAGAGCACGGCCAGGAGGATGAGAGACGGCCCCTGCTGACAGGGAGACAACCACTGAGCAGGGGACGTCAGGCCGTCAGAAAACTGAAGAAAGTCACAGGATTTATTGACGAGACAGTAGAGAGTATGTTGTTTATAAGTACAACGCGTTAACTAAAATGTTGAGATAAAGAGGAATTTGAGTGAGGGGTTGTTTTATAACGAATAATTTAAATCTACCAAAACTTATTTTCTATATGTGTTTCTGCTGAAGGGAACAACATTTGCGGTTTTTATTAATGAGGTTGCTCTTCTGGAGAATAAGGTAGGGGGGGGTCAGATTATTTCCTTATATTTGACGTAGAGCATGGTGTTAAAGAAGTGTACACCAATGTATTTGCATTCTTCTTTTTTTTTCAAATGCATGTACATTTATTTCGAAATGTTCAGAATATTTTTAAAAATTAAAAAAATGTTTCAATGTACCGTAAAACCCAGCAAATGATGTACCGGAGTAGTGCGTTATTAATTATCGGTTATCCGTTTTTTGGAAATAAACTCTAATTAAAAAAAGATTAGTGAACTTTGAAGTTAGATGTCATTTTATTGGGCGGCTAGTGTATGAAGTCGTATTATGGTGCGCTTAGTGAAGGGGGTTTTGATTAGATGCGTTAGGATGCGTTAGGAGGCGGGGTCGGAAAAACGAAAGTAAATTCCCGTCGTTTATGGACGACAACCTATTTTTTTTTATGTTATTTGAAACTCATGAACTATCGACTGCTAACGCGAAAAAAACTTGAGTTCGAACCCGGATTCTTGTCATCAAAAAGGCCTGAAGCTACAAACCTCTTAGGGGTACCTTACACATGTTACGGAAAGTACTTCGCCTGCCACATGGGCAGTCAGGTCTAAAAGAGTACTTAAAATAGCACGATATATTAAAAGAAAACAAACACACGTAGTAAATCATTCTAAATCCTATCTTAATCTTTAATCCACCAGACGAAGACGTGATGTCAGACGAACAACTCAAAAAACACCTGAACAAGCTACAGAGACGAAACAGCTACTACCACGGAGAGTTTCAGCGAGCATATCAGGCTCTGAATAGCCTCAACACCGTCTACGAGGAGTCTCTCAGCTCCTGCATGTGTTTCAGCTACTTCCGGTTGAAAGATGCAGTCAGTCACGTGATGGAAGTCTCACGTGCGGACTCAAGTTACGAGAGTTCAAATCCAAACAATTAAACATTTTTTTGGCACATAACCCAGAGTGATTCGTCCAAAGGCTACCCTGAATAATTTGCTCAGGACTCTACATAGTATGAATACTAGGAACCCAGCCCTTTTAGGACTTGAATCTATGACATAAATGCGGAAAAGGAAGTAGATAGGGTATGTCCCAGAAAGGAGGGGTGAGGTTTGCTCAATGTTAACGTACACACATCAAATATATAATTCGCATATTATTACGAAAATTACAACCAAATTGTATATACTTTAGTTAGCAAACAGCATTTATTAATATAATACCCAATATTGCTTAAAATAATTCAGTTAAAAACTCGGTTATATATTGGTGTTTTATTTTTAAACTTTCTTTTACTTTTTTTATGTATTATTTGATAAAAATGTTCTTTTTTCCTGAACTATTTAAGGTCTTAAATATTTCATATATATGTCTATATATATTTGTTTCTAAGCAATGGAATAATTTAAAATAGGATAAAATTTCATTTTAAATATTTTTGTTGTATTTCACTTTACAGTAAAGAGTGGCTTCCCTTCAAATTTCTTACAATAAGTAGAAACATTTTCCCAATTAAATTTTTAAACACAATTTTGTTTTTAATTTTTACTTCGTCTTAATTGATTTTTTATCTAGTTTATCGAGCCATAATTTCATTTTATTCTGGAATGAGAAGATATGTCTAACGTATCATATTGAAATAGATTATATTTTAGAACCTAATCAAAATAACAAAAACTTATATCATAAAAGGTATATCCGCAAGATAATAATCCTTTACAATACAATCAGCTTTTTAATCAACATTTTTTATGTAGATAGACATGTTTTGAAAATTACAGCATTTATTTTTGTTATTTACAATATTTTATTTACAATCATTATGAATCTTTACTTTGAATATTTTTCTTGATTTTATTACTATCTATAAATACAATGTGTTAAATGCAGTCATTATAAACATGAATTTCTTCTCGACTTAAATACACACATTGCTTATTTTATAATAATAACATTTGTAACAAGTAATGCAACATCGTACGTTGAGATTTACATGTAAAGTTCTAAAAATGGCACTTATGTGCGGGAATAAATCAAGAGAAAACTGAGTTGAAAGCATAGTTACATTTCTTTTAATTTAGTATTGAACAATTGGGATTTGTTTTAAAATTCTGATTAAAAATTAGATTTATAGGCCTATTTTGTGTAGATGTTAATAATTTGTTAGTTAAAATACAAAATTAGATTGCTGTTAAATTTCGAAGTGTTGTAATTTTAAAAGATGCATTTTATTTTTTAGTATTAAGTTAGAGTTAGATTAGGGTTTTAGAAAGTGTTGTAGAAAGATTTATCGATTTCTGGTAGATTTGGAGTTGCTGTAATGTCTATATTTGTGGTCGTAATTAAACAATTACCAAATAAACTATAACAATTGCATTTTTTTGTAACCAACAGTTAATTTGTATTGAAATGGTTTAACAAAACAAGTCATATAAATTAACTATTGAATCAAAAACATAAAAGACGTTCAACTAAACACAATATAACTAAAAACGTAAACACAGTAAAACACTAATATTTATTCTAAAACAAACATATAGCACTAAAATGTAAGCCTACTATATATATATATATATATATATATATATATATATATATATATATATATATATATATATATATATATATATATGTATAATGATATAATGATAAACCGCTACACAACAATTTCCGGCACTTAGCTTAACACACTTAATATAACGACGAACCCTATTTGATGGAAACTGTTCTTTATTAGCTCAGGCATAGAGTTACATAACTCTGCTGCACCTGCTTACTAACACTTATGAATGGGTATTTTGAAGCCTTGTTGTCGTGGTTCTACTACATTACAGTAACACACTACATATTAATGGACTTCCTTCAATGTGTAGAGCCTTAGTTGTCCCCGGTTACGTCAATTTCTTGAACTCTTATTCAAGGTCAACTAATAAAGATGCATATTTCTCATTTGACTTATATTTGCAATAAATGACAGTGTTCAGCCATTGTATATTCGTCCATGCTCAATGCAGCTGCTGTGGGTACTCAGTGCCACCGGTGTGGGTACTCACTGCTATTGTTGAAGGTACCCTATGTTTCCGATTCGTGCTACGGCTATTGTGCTTGACTGATTCTTCTATTGATTACCAATGACAGTGCTGTAGCTACATATTGCCACTGGTATGGGTACTCAGTGCTGAAACAGTGGGTACTGAGTGTTGAAGCCATGTGTACTGAGTGTTGAAGCTGTGGGTACTCACTGTTGAAGCTGTGGGTACTCAGTGTTACTGCAGTCTGTTCTTTGTGTAACTGCTGTGGGTACTCAGCGCTGGAGCTGTTGGTAATCGATAACGTTGATGTGGGTACTCAGCCTTAGAAGTGGGTACTCAGTATCACTGCTGTAAGTGCTTAGTGCTCAAACTGTGGTTGCTCAGTGTCACTGATGTTGGTACTCAGTGCTAAAGATGTGGGTACTCAATAACACTGCTGTAGGTACTAAATGCCAGTATAATGCCACTAATGTGGTTATTCAATAGCACTGCAAAGTGTATGTTTGTCAGTACTCAACCTTACTGTATTTATTACGAGGTGTAAGTCTATGCTCAGTGTTATTATTGTCACGGTCACCGTGAAGACCTTTCTTTGGTGGTATCCACGATAGTGGTCCACCACCTCACTTCCTGTTGTCTATTTATTTTTTTATGTTCTCCTAATATTTTACAATACTATTTCAAAGCTAAATTTGTTATATTGTACCCAGCAACATGATAACATTATTCCAGCATCGCACTCTCTCCATATGCCAATGTCAATGAAACAGGTGAACTCTACTTCACTTACCAAATGGACCGTAAAGTTCTAAAGTGTACTTTCATACATAGGCGAAAACTATATTGTTATTCCTTTATTTATTTATAATAATACTTGAATGAATAACAGCTAAGCGTTGCATCGTATTTCGTTATACCTGCTTGGCACCCAAGATCCATTTTATGTCTTATTGCCGGATGTCACGAAAATGCGACAAACCTTAATTAGCAGATAAGTTCCAAAATTATTCTCATATGCGATTTATACTGTTTTTATACATAAAAGAGTGTATAATATAGCTATTAGTATTTTTTGTAGAACAAACGGATCACCTATTAGTAATAATAATCAATGTAAGTAGGCTGAATTCACTGAAGTCAAAAAAAAAAACGACGATGCGCGTGAGTCAAGAGAGTGTGACGTCATAAAGCTCGACTTGACAACGTGACCGTTGGTACCTATACAACCGTCTGGATGTACCCAATACACAACGACCGGCAGCAGTAGGATAAATGTACCTATGCGCAAATGCTATGCGCTAAATCGGTATGTCGCGAAAACACGACTGTCGGTGTTAAGGGGCTAAGCATATGAAGGGAGAGTGTGGTCAGAGACATGTTCGGCCGAAATCGTTTTTTTTTTTTTAAAACGATAAAAACATGTTGTCTGTGACTTGGCGAGACATTGGGCAGGTAAAGTAGAGTTGAGTAGGTCACCTGTGACGTTATATATGAAGGGATAGTGTGGTCCGACCTATGCTTAGACGAAATCTGTGTTTTTTAAAGATAAAAAACGTCTTTTTTGAATGCGGGGTCTGGTTATTTTGTGATGATAAGTGACAGACGTGATGTCATTAATGGATGACCCCCGAAACCCACAGTTGTCCAAGGGATGACCGGGTAAGTCTAGTTTTATATAAGTATTTGTTTGTTTAGCAATGGAATTATCTAAATTAGGATATAATTTACCACTTTTTTAACTTATTTTTTCACCTTTCTTCCCTTACCATATATATAGGCCTATATATAAACTCACCTGGATTCCAACATTTTCATTTACTCCTTTATCGGTTTATCCATTTTTAATTTTTTATTACCTCATATACCACATATAACTGCATGTAAATACTCACCATATTCTTTTGTAAAACCTTCATCTTCCTTTGAGTTATGAAATTAGTTTAACATGTTGATATTTATATATGTGTTTTAAATGGCAAGTAAAAGTTTTTAATTTATTCTAGATTTAAAAAATCACATCATAAACTAACAGCATGAAATTCAGTAATATTTTTTTTTAAATTAAGCAAATCATCATAGAAATTATGTAAGTTTGCAGGAAGTACAGGTTAAAGTAGTTGTAAATGTTCATATTTGAGAGCTTATTTCTACTGCTCTTGTACAGCTGGTCAGGGGCTAGGGGTGTGATCTTAAAATTGAGACCCAAGTTTAGAAAGCGGCCAAATATCTGCTAATATACTGAAGTAGATAGTAGCATCAGGGCAATACTGTAGTATCTGTTGAATTGAATTATTTAAAGGTTAGACGTGTCTATTGAGATATGCTGGTCTGTTGTATGGTAATACTTGTCAGTTAAAAGAGGCTGATCTCTTATGTTCTAAGACAGATTATTTGAGAGAGGCTGATATTTTGTATGGTAAGACTGTTTAGTTGAGAGAGACTAGTCTTTTTTTTGGTGAAACTAATCTGTTGAGAATGCTGTAATTTTGTAAAGAATGGTCAGTTGAGAAATGTTGATCTGTTGTATGTTAAGATGGGTCAGTTGAGTGAAGCTGATCTCTTGTATTGTGAGAGGGGTGTGTTGAGAGAGGCTGGTCTTTTCTTCTTCTTCTTCTTCTTCTTCTTCTTCGTTCTTAATGTTAGTGTTGGAAGGGATACCCACCAACACAATTAAGTCTACGTGTCAACTGGTTATGCGCCATTGAGGCCGATGACTCAAACTTCATCCTGCTTTTCTTTTTGGGTCTGGTCTGTTGTTCGGTAAGACTAGTCGCTGTTGAGAGAACTCTTGTCTCTTGTAAGGTAAGAGTGCTCAGTTGAGAGAGGCTGATCTTTTGTATGGTACGATTGGTACTTCTAAATGGGCTGTTTTGTTGTATTATAAGTCTGATGTGTTGAGAGAGAGGTCAGATGAGAAATGCTGGTCTTTTGTATGTTAAGATGTTTCAGTTGAGAGAAGCTGGTCTTTTGTATGTTAAGATGCTTCAGTCGAGAGAAGCTGGTCTTTTGTATGTTAAGATGTTTCAGTTGAGAGAAGCTGGTCTTTTGTATGTTAAGATGTTTCAGTTGAGAGAAGCTGGTCTTTTGTATGTTAAGATGTTTCAGTTGAGAGAAGCTGGTCTTTTGTATGTTAAGATGCTTCAGTCGAGAGAAGCTGGTCTTTTGTATGTTAAGATGTTTCAGTTGAGAGAAGCTGGTCTTTTGTATGTTAAGATGTTTCAGTTGAGAGAAGCTGGTCTTTTGTATGTTAAGATGTTTCAGTTGAGAGAAGCTGGTCTTTTGCATGTTAAGATGTTTCAGTTGAGAGAAGCTGGTCTTTTGTATGTTAAGATGTTTCAGTTGAGAGAAGCTGGTCTTTTGTATGTTAAGATGTTTCAGTTGATAGAAGCTGGTCTTTTGTATGTTAAGATGTTTCAGTTGAGAGAAGCTGGTCTTTTGTATGTTAAGATGTTTCAGTTGAGAGAAGCTGGTCTTTTGTATGTCAAGATGTTTCAGTTGAGAGAAGCTGGTCTTTTGTATGTCAAGATGTTTCAGTTGAGAGAAGCTGGTCTTTTGTATGTTAAAATGTTTCAGTTGAGAGAAGCTGATCTTTTGTATGTCAAGATGTTTCAGTTGAGAGAAGCTGGTCTTTTGTATGTCAAGATGTTTCAGTTGAGAGAAGCTGGTCTTTTGTATGTTAAGATGTTTCAGTTGAGAGAAGCTGGTCTTTTGTATGTTAAGATGTTTCAGTTGAGAGAAGCTGGTCTTTTGTATGTTAAGATGTTTTAGTTGAGAGACGCTGGTCTTTTGTATGTTAAGGTGTTTCAGTTGAGAGAAGCTGGTCTTTTGTATGTTAAGATGTTTCAGTTGAGAGAAGCTGGTCTTTTGTATGTTAAGATGTTTCAGTTGAGAAATGCTGGTCTTTTGTATGTTAAGATGTTTCAGTTGAGAGAAGCTGGTCTATTGTATGTTAAGATGTTTCAGTTGAGAGAAGCTGATCTCTTGTATGGTAAGACGGGTCAGTTTAGAGAGGCTGGTCTGTTGTTTGGTAGGCTGATCTGTTGAGATAGTCCATTCTATTCAGAGAGGCTGTTCTTTTGAGAGAGTCTTCTGATAGAGGCAGATATTATGAGAGAAGCTGGTCTTTTGAGAGTGTCTGGTCTCTTGTATGTTAAGACTTGTAAGATTAGAGAGGCTGGTCTATATTATCTTAAGATTGGTAAGTTGAGAGACGCGTGTCTTTTGTATATTACGACTGGTCTATTGAGATAGTCTAGTCCATTGTAAAGATTGGTCTGTTGAGTGAGGCTGATCTGCTGTATGATAAGACTTGAGTGTTGAGAGAGACTGGTCTGTTGTTTGCAAAGACTAGTCTTAAGAGAGTCTCTTATATGGTAAGACTGCTCAATTGAGAGAAGCTGATTTCTTTTGTATGGTATGACTGCTCAGTTAAGAGAGGCTGATCTCATGTAAGATGAGACTTTTCAGTTGAGAGAGGTTGATCTTTTGTATGGTAAGACTGGTCAGTTAAGAGGGCGGTCTCTTGTATTGTAAGACGGGTAAGTTGATAGAGGCTGATCTGTGTATGGTAAGACATGTGTGTTGAGAGAGACTGGTCTTTTGAAATAGGCTGGTCTGTTGTATGGTAGGCTGAACTGTTGAGAGAGGCTATTATATTGAAGAAAAACGCTCATAAAAGCTATATATATATATATATATATATATATATATATATATATATATATATATATATATATAGTCTACCTTTGCTTTCTGCACATTTCCTATATCTGCATTAGTATATAGTGTATCTTCTAGCTGTAATCCCGCTCTGTGTCTCCATATAGACTAGTTCGGCAAGTTACCCTAACTTTTATATATCGCGATCAAGTTGACATCTTTTAGGTCTTGCCGGAATGTATTTTCTTCCCAGCCCTGACATATTAGCTCATGGAGTGAAGCCTGTTTTCCAGCGTGGATAATGTCTACAGCGGATACCTTCTCCTCCAGGATCCTTTTCACAACGGAGAAAAGTTAATAGCTGCATTAAATTCAACTTCGTGTACCTAAATCAGAGCAGTTAATGACATATCGTTTTAGCTCTGATAGAGGTTCTGGTAGTGTTCAATCCATCACTGTAATTCGTTGATCTCTCTCCTGTCTTTGAGCATTGCGCTTTTGCAAGTTTGCGGCCCAAGCGAATGTATATTCTTGTATTGATTCATCTAATGGTCCCTTGATCTATGCACGATTGTATGCTTTCACAAAGCGCCTACCAGTAGTTGTTTGTCTGGCTATTTTCCTGGCGTTATTTCTTGTAGCTCTTAAAGTCATGAAACTTCTTAAAGAGGGTTTATTCTTATACTGAATAAGAGCTTCTTTTTTAGAGTTAAATGCGCTTTCAATATTTGACTAATTGGTTACATAGCAATCTTGATTCTTCGTGTCCCTTACGCCAAAAAAACTGCAATGAAGATTCATAAACGGTGCACTAAATGCATTGCCAATATTCTTCTACTTCCTTGACCGAACTCATTCACTTTACTCACTAATTCGTCACACAAGTCGAGGTTGACATTACCAGTGGTGTTTAAGCATGGATTCCGATGCTTTTGAGAACGATGAATCTTTAACAGCATGAATCGTATTTAGCACCAAACCATGGTGTGTAGTGTGTCGCAGCTCTATGAAAGCGAAAATGACGGATGCCTCCAGAGACGCTGTGATGAGACATGGTCTCAGAGAAAGTATTCATAACGCAAAGATCATTGTAAGTACAGAAAGTCAAACTGGCGTTGCCGACGCCGAAATGGTCCAGTGAGTCTGGTCATGTATCAAAACTTTGATCCCAACCTGGATTTGCCGTCTTCCAAAAGTATAAGATGTTTCATGTTTGGTATGTCTTCGGTTGTGTTTTGTAAGGACTCATAAAACCTGTATTAGTCCTTTGAGGAGTGAGAGCATAAGCATGCAGTACGCTCAGCTTCCCAGGCAATGTTTTTGGACAGGATCCGCTCTCAACCGCCGACGACGGCGATGAACGTGAGAAGGAGGCTGCTTTTTATACCAAACCCTACTTTATGCATCCGTTTTTCATTAATCGGTTTATCTTTTCATAAGAAAGTGTTATCTTTTTCGTGTAGCATTCCATGTTCTGCTAGTCTTTTTCATGGAGACCGGCTATATCAATGTTAAGTCTTCTTAGCTCGTTGTTTAGCACTGCTGTCTTTCCGATATGATCCGCCTCCAGTGGGTCATTAACAAGGCCAGAGCTACTTTTCTTTTACATTCCATGTAGAAAGTTGAAGGACTGACAGTTTCTTAATTTGTTTACTATATACCTATCTTGGTGCGGTGTTTTGACTGCTTATTGATATTTATCTAGATCAGGCAGACCGTTGCGCGCGATTAGACAGTACGCCACGTCGAAGGTGCAGGACGAATTTGCTCAGCTAACTTTTGTCTGAAATATAGAGACTCAGATATACTCAATAAAATGTGGCAACTAAAGGTGTGTTAAAAGAATTAACCAGCAAAAATAGTGTCTAGCGGGAGACGTAAAGGCTTGAGTCTCAGTGTTAGCCTTATATATAAAAAACATCGTGTGCTGTTTCAAAAGCTTTACTGAGACTGAACTGTGTGTTAGCCGTATATAAAAAAAAAACATCGTGTGCTGTTTAAATATCTATACTTCGACTAAACTATGTGTTAGCCTTTTATTAAAAATATATGTGTTGTTTCCGTAGCTTTACTTAAACTAAACTAAGTTATGTGAAGCACCTCATTCCAACTCGGATTGTAAATATTTAAAACTACATCTATGGTAGACCAGTTGTCCGAACAAATATTAGATCCTTCCAGATTTATAATATGAATATAAAGAATCAGACCCTACGTATTTGCGCATACTATAAAGTATGAATACACGATTGATCTGAGAATTCCTTGATCTAGATAACTAAGGGTAACTACTTGCGTGTCTGGAACTTGAACGCTAATTAAACTTCAATCAATGTCACAGAAACAAGTAAACAGAGACAACTGGATATCAAACATCAGCCTTACGGCAAAAGTATAAATATTTTTCTTGCTAATAAACTAAATCATCGTTTACACGATGTGCAAAGTCGCGTGATTTCAATCAGTCTCGGAAAATTCTTCGCCTTAGGTGATTCACAACAAGAAAATAGTAAGAGAGAATAATTCAGGCAAACATAATACATTGTTCAAAAACAAAGAAAGCCAGAATATTGGAAATTCGATAAAGGAAAGGTCATTTAAAATTACTCAATAATACTGACGTAGGCAAACCATTTTTTTTCAGTAATTGTCGAAAATTATTTTGCTTAGTATTCCGATATTCTTGCTGAATAATTAAGTAAATTACTGCTGCCGTCTTTATATTATGTTTCACTTTCTAGAATTCCTTTATCTTTGCGGCTTACTTCGTGATTTATGTATCTACAACACTATCAAAATTCGGTTTGGTATTACGGTATTTGGTTAAACAATCAGAATACTTTCTCATAGAAGAAGCTAAGATACACACACAAATACACATAAAACACAGACACAAACACACAAATACACCCATTGGTATATGCAAAACCTGTAAGTCATTATAAAACGTCGACTTTTTTATGAGCGCTAACTCGGATGGTTATGTTATTTATACGTTGTAATCGTATTGGGTTCAGTGCCTCTTACTTTAAATCTGCAATATAACACTCTAGCTACTAATAATACCATAATGCTCATCGGTTATAATATCAATACCTAGAATCGTCGACGTGACGTGGAGAAATAGTTTTTTTTTTAACTTCTTATAATATAATCAATTTATATTTAACGATAAAGATTTTATTTCTACATTATGCTATTTTTTTTTATTCACGTTTGTACCTTTAGAGTAGAATTAATTTACTTTTGATTAACGCAGTACACATATAGAGTTGTAGAATATAAACTTTTGATTTAGATATCTGATATATAAATATACATAAATATATATATTATATATTATTACATTTATAGCATTTATATATATATATATATATATATATATATATATATATATATATATATATATATATATATATATATATAACATTTATAAATACATATTTACTTATTTATGATTATATTATTAAAATTATAACATTTTATACATTATTAGATGTACTATTTTTCGCTACTTTATTTCAGTTCTTGATTTAAAAGTGTTTTCAGCCATGTCCGACCCTACTACAACACCAGACTCTCACCAGAGTAGAAACAACATTATAGCTAAAACATCTTCAGGTTCTATAGAGTCTATGTCCTTGTACCTCCCAGCCTTCGTCGTTGACTTTATCACCACATTAAATTACATCTTCTTAATAGAAATATTCGCCGTGTTCGGGCTCGTGACCAACGTTGTGAACATCATCGTGTTCACGAGGCAAGGGTTCCAGGAAACTGTGAACATTACTCTGGTGGCTCTGGGTGTTGGAAACATGGGGGCGCTGTTTTTCGCTATGGGGTTTTTTATGCTGAGTCCGTGGTTCCTTCACGCTGATCTCCCTTTCATTCAGGCTGATATCTTGACAATACTAGTTAGCTTCCCTCATACGTATTTTATTCGTGTGTGTGGTTTCATTAATGCTTTCTCTTCATTTTCCAGATGCATGTGTGTAGTTTTTCCTTTACAGTTCAAGAGTATAATCTCTAAGCGTGTAGTTTGGACATTCAACACGGGCGTATTTTTCGTGTGTTTGTTATGTGTTGCTCATGTGTTTTTCATGGCATATTTTGAAGCGGCCTTCGTCCCATCCAGAAACAAAACTCTTATAGTATCACGGTACCGCGTGAGCTCTGATATTTACACAATTTGGTACTTCGTAACCGACCTTGCTGTTCCTATATCTTATTACATAATCATCGTCGTCAGCAACATCGTTATTGTCCTCAAACTCAAAGTAAAATCTAAATGGAGGATATCGAATGCAAAACAATCCCTCCCAGATGAACAAATATCGCAGAAAGATAAAAAAGTAACCCGGATGCTGATCATGATTTCCATGCTGTTCGTTGTTTGCCAGACTCCAATAATAATGATTTACACAGCGTCGGCATTGGAGAGAGAGTTAACATTCCGTGGAAAGTACTCGAATGTTCTTATTCTTAATTCCAGTTTTGTTATCCTGTTTGACGTCATCTTTGGCAGTGTGGACATTTTTATTTACTACAACATGAGCACTAAGTTTAGAAATACTTTTTTAGAACTTTTTGCCATACGAAATCTCATAGAAAAATTCAGATCTCAAAGAGTCGAGTAAACAGCGATGGATACAAGCTCACTCGTAAAATCTGAACTAAAAAATGAGTGTCTTTAATTTTTTTTTTAAAATAATTTCGTATTTGTGAAAATCTATCTTTCCAACTTATTTACTTTTAAATAATGGTTACGTTGTGTTAAATGTATCTTTAAATGTTTTTTAATCTTTAAATCAAGTGAATTATTTTAAAACAATTAGAAGATCCTTTTTACTTTCTAAAATACTAAATAACGAGAGTATTGTTTTCCTTAGCTAGGAAGAATCTCATTATAGGAGCCTAGGGCTCAATGAAATTACATCTGAAGTTATTGGCTTACTTTGTTTATCTTTTTTAATGGGCAAACAAGGTGGCAGTTGTTCAATGATTTGTGCATCATTGTAGCAATCAAGAGGTTTATAACATCTTAGTTGACGAATTACAAAACCCAAAACCACACTAGTGTTAAACTTTAGGATACATTTATTTTCACACATTTACAAGACCATTCATATAAATTACACGCTACACATTAACGTTTAATAATTATCAAAAAATAACTTACAACAATTATCAAACATCACTGTGGCGGTAATGTTATTCTTCCTCCCCTCTTTTCTACCCCTCCCCCCCCCCCCCCCGCCTTTCCCTGTCAGCTGGAATCCCTTGACCGTTAGATTGTTCAGTTGCAAGATTTACATTGTGACTCATCCCAGGCCGTAAAGGCTTATGGGACAGGTCGTCGATGATGCGATAAAAGGGCCGGTAACCAATGAAGTCGGTCCTTTTTACCCTGTTCAATGTCCTTGCTCAGCGCACCTGCACGCTAACCCCCAACCTGGGTATCGGTGCGTCCAAGAAATTAGCAGATATCGCTTCTAAACTTTTAAACTTATGGTTACTAGACATATATAATATCGACCTTCAGTGAAAATATGTTTTTATTGTCAGCATTTGATGTATTTTTACTATTATCTATGATGTTGTAATTTTTCCTCAACTTGTGTTGTAAATAATAATTATCTCTCATTACTATATCCCACAACATTGTTCTATCCTATACATGTAACGCTAGTTATGTTGTTTTTGTTAGCAATATTTAGTAGGCCATGCCTTCTATTTACAGTGTCCTAGTTCGGGGACCAATTCATTCCAATGCCATTGTAACAGACAAGGCGAGCGCATGTCTACACACTGGAATCTTAAGCTGTTATAAAGTTACGTTGATTCTATACGCACAACAAAAATTTATAATTATGGCAACACTTATTGCATACAAATATCTGTAATAAATCTGTAATAAGTCTTCTCTGGTTTAACATCCTTTAAGCACTAATGGAGTTAGTTTCCTTCAAGATGTCTTGGTTGGAGACAAGGTCTTTCTATGTGACACACAGGATTCGTCTTAGGCAGAGTCTTAGTGTGGCCGTTGCAGTGGTTGCCTTGCCTACTCTCCTTGGTATCTCTTTGTCAAATTGCTGGTGATGGTGGAGTCCAGGGGGTCGGCGTGGTTGAGTCGGTAAAGCTCATGGATGCTGAACCGAAAAGTCTCTTGTTCGAACCCTAGGGCAGATTAAGCTCGTTAGCTGGGGTCAGCCACTCTTCTAGGAGAGACAACTTCAAAATCAAAAGCAGGCTAAAATCAATGGCCTGAATGGCGCATAACCAGTTTACACGTATTATTAATTGGGATGGAGGCGTGGTCGAGTCGGCAAAAAAGCTCATGTTTTATGAATTCGAAAAAAAAGTCTGATAGATAAGGCTCGATATCTTCCAACACTAAAAATTAAGAACGAAAAAGAAGAAGAAGAAGAGGTGGAGCCCAGGTAAATACATTCCTCCACTACTCTGAATAATTGCATGGGAAGCAGACAGAAGTTTAGAAGGGCAACCAATTCTTTCAAGCACTCCACTTCTTTTGACCAGATAAAATAACTTTATTAGATTTTTTAAAAAGCTATATAGGCCTATATAGTGTCTACGTTTGTTTCTGTACATTTCCTATAACTGCAGTAGTATATAGTGGATCTTCGAGATCTAATTCCGTACTGGGCCTCATTATAGACTGGTTTTGGCAAGTATTTGTAGCTTTCTTAGGAGCTCTCCTTTTTTTTTACAGACGGAACGGTTACCTTAACTTTTACATATCGCGACCAAGTTAACATTTTTTTTAGGTCTTGGAGTAATGTATTTTCTTCCCAGCACTGACATACTAGCTCGTGGAGTGATGCCTGTCTTCCAGCGTTGATAATTTCTGCGGGGAAACCATTTCTTCTAGGAGCCTTTCCGAGAGCGAGATGTATATAAGAGGAATGAATACAAGAATACACATTCGTTTGGGCCTCAAACTTGCAAAAGCGCAATGCTCAAAGACAGGAGAGATATAAACTGACCAGTTTTTACAACAGAAAAGCCTCTAACATTAGACCAGTCTTAAGATACAACAGACCCGGATCTCTAAGCACACAACTTTTTAGAAGAGGAGACATCTGCCTCTCTCAACTGAGCACTCTTTACAACAGACCTGGCTCTCTTAATGTACCAGTCATACCAAAAAGAGAGATCAGCCTCTCTCAAATAAACAGTCGTACCATATAAGATATATGCCTCTTTAAAAAGACCCGTCTTAATATACAAGACATCAGCCCATCTAAACGGACCTGTCTTTACAACGGTGGCCGGAAAGAACCGCAACGGAAAAAAGCGCAACGGAAAAAAGCGCAAATCAAAAAGCGCAACGGAAATAAGCGCACACGGAAAAAAGCGCAAAGAGAAAAAAGCGCACACAGAAAAAAGCGCAAAGAGAAAAAAGCGCAAACGGAAAAAAGCGCAAAGAGAAAAAAGCGCACACAGAAAAAAGCGCAAACAGAAAAAAGCGCAAACGGAAAAAAGCGCAAAGAGAAAAAAGCGCACACGGAAAAAAGCGCAAAGAGAAAAAAGCGCACACAGAAAAAAGCGCAAAGAGAAAAAAGCGCACACAGAAAAAAGCGCAAACAGAAAAAAAGCGCAAACGGAAAAAAGCGCAAAGAGAAAAAAGCGCAAACGGAAAAAAGCGCAAACAGAAAAAAGCGCACACGGAAAAAAGCGCAAACGGAAAAAAACGCAAACGGAAAAAAGCGCAAATAGAAAAAAGCGCAAACGGAAAAAAGCGCAAACAGAAAAAAGCGCACACAGAAAAAAGCGCAAACAGAAAAAAGCGCAAACGGAAAAAAGCGCAAACAGAAAAAAGCGCACACAGAAAAAAGCGCAAACGGAAAAAAGCGCAAACAGAAACAGAAAAATGCGCAACCAGAAAAAACACAAAGAAAAATGTGCAAAAGAGAAATTTAGCACAAAGACCATATGGACTAGATGACACATTTATACATGACTGTTAGGGCTGCTGTGAGAGTGTCGTGTTTGATCACGTGATCTACTACCATTTAAAGCGTACATATATATATATATATATATATATATATATATATATATATATATATATAATATATATATATATATATATATATATATATATATATATATATATATATATATATATATATACCGTTGGGTCTATGGGGGGGTTATGACCCCCATAACCCCCCCCCCCCCTGCCTACGCCACTGCATATAAGTATTCGCATAGATTTAGAGTAGCGTCCCTTTTGTTTCCATGTTTTCATTACCCTTCAAACAAAAGTCTATTTTAGTTATATTGAAATTAAAGAATGTAAATAAATAGTATACACAATTCTGTAGAATAGTAACGATTGGGAGGGAAGTGACATTTAGCACAGTAAATTTAGAGGTTAGGTAGGGTATAATAAATGGTGGGGTTAGGAAAGTTAAGGGGTCTATTCTCTAATAGGCAATCTATGTCTCTTTCGTACTTTCGTGTTGGTTTATTGTCGAACCTGTCCTCACCTCACATCACAACAGTTGGGTGACGCTTACCGTGTAATGTTAAAATAAATAGCATGTAATTGAGTTAGTTCGAAGTGAGTTTTCATACAAGCCCAACGCACTAATTAAGGTTGTCGCAAAATGTAACATATATGTAACATATGTCAATGATGACAATGAATTTTCATTTTAAAAAAAGATGTCTAGTACAGTTTACGAAACTTACGAACTTCGCCGATACTTTTTTGGTGGGTAGTTTGGTAAGTATGTAGGCGGGTAGGTGGGTAGGTGGGTAAGTGGGTAAGTGGGTAGGTGGGTAGTTAGGTAGGTAGGTAGGTAGGTGGGTAGGTGGGTAGTAGGTAGGTAGGTAGGTGCGTCATGATGTGAAAAAATATTAAATACAAAATTGTTATTTTGGTGCGAATGAATGTTGTTACGAGAGATATGACGAATGCATGTTTGATGACGCGGATGAAAGAGAGTGAAGTTTTGCCATAGGAACGGGTTGTTATAGTATGCAAGCTAGGTAGTTCGGACTAGGGAGAATGTGAAAGATACTTCGTGTAATGTCGATAGTTTTATGTTTATACGAGAATAGTAGTTGAATAATTATTGACCAAGAAAATAATAGGCATTGTGTAAAGTGATTATCGCCTGTATCGTGGTGATGGGAATGCAGATGGTAGTGGTACGCTTTAAATGGTAGTAGATCACGTGATCAAACACGACACTCTCACAGCAGCCCTAACAGTCATGTATAAATGTGTCATCTAGTCCATATGGTCTTTGTGCTAAATTTCTCTTTTGCACATTTTTCTTTGTGTTTTTTCTGGTTGCGCATTTTTCTGTTTCTGTTTGCGCTTTTTTCCGTTTGCGCTTTTTTCTGTGTGCGCTTTTTTCTGTTTGCGCTTTTTTCCGTTTGCGCTTTTTTCTGTTTGCGCTTTTTTCTGTGTGCGCTTTTTTCTGTTTGCGCTTTTTTCCGGTTGCGCTTTTTTCTGTTGCGGTTTTTTCTGGGAACCCTTTACAACAGACCAGACTCACTCAATACAACATTCTTACCATACAAATCAGCCTCACTCAACTGACCAGTCTTACCATACAAAAGATCAACCTCTCTAAACAGACCATCCTCTTATCAGATC